GAGAGAGAGAGAGAGGCGAGGAGGAGCGGAGCGAGGAAGGGGGCGGAAACGGCCAAGCATCCTGTTCAACCCCTGAAGTTAGAGATAGCTCGTAAAGGTAGCTGCACCGCATGGTATAGCCGGATTAGGGTGCCGGGATGTTTGCATTCTGGAGGGTGGGCCGATGAAACAGTCCGAAATAGACAGATAAATAAATAGGGGTGGATGCTAGTGGGGGGTTTATTGTGGATTGCATGACGCACGGGAATAATTGCGAGTAAATGCGGTATTGCTATGCAAATATATCAAAGATTTTAGCTTTAGTCGGATGCGACTATATACTGTCGATACTGTCAACAGATTAATTAAAACGCACATCTGTAATGTTCAATAACGCAATGATGAAGTGGTTCTTTCCGGCAGATATAAAAGAGCGAAATATATCTGTATTTGTCAATATTAATACAATTTTAATTGATAAATTAGTAAATAATAACAAAAGAAATTATACGAAATGAAAGATACGTTGCTAAAGTAATTTGTATGAATTTATGGGAAAATAACAAGAAGAATGTAGAGCAATAGTCTAGAATTAATGGAGATCTTTTTATATACTTTAATAAGATGTACAACTGTACAACTTTCGAGTATCGAGGGGATTAAAGATATCGAGTGATGGAAAAGCAATAAGTAAAAAAAAAAGCCGAAGATTGTGATACTTTTTAAAAGTTATCAAAGAGAAATGGCTTTGTAACTTACGGTAAGAGTTTTTCATATAACTTTTGCACACTTATTTGAGGTTACTTATTACGGTCGATCGTTAAGTAATTCGTTCTGGATAGAACGCTCGCATTGAACTCGCAAGTGCGAGAGATGAGAGAAAAAGATTTGACCATCGGACCGACAAGACTCCCGGAGACTAGCGAGCGGAGGCAAGCGGATACAGCGAAAGGAAAATATGATCGAATGATAGATCCGCCCCTGTATAGTGGTCTTCGAGTTGCCGCTGCCGCACCCTCGTTGGCCTGACATGCGCCATGACCCGTTCCATAGGTATCCATAGGTTCCACGTTCCGACGCTTCTCTACGCTTCTCTTATCATACCGACTCTTCGTTCACAGAGCCAAATACACACGTGAATACGCACCACGGATAGCGGCCATGTATTCTACTCCGTGCATTTCTCTCTCCCCACCCACCCCCTCCCCCCTCACCCCTTCTCACTCTCTCACCCGGTCTGGTGTTACCCCTTTTGTATGCGCGTTCGCGGGGTCACATTCATAGCATAACGCGAATAGCCGCGTTGTCCCTCTCGAAAGAATTGATTCTACTGACGTGTACGATCTCCAGCGACGTGTGTACGGCACGTGTGCCGGTTTTCGAATACCGGGAGAGATCCGAGATACGAGGGAACAGCGGGCGTACTACCGGCGGCGTTGCGATCTCGTCCCCGCCGCGATTCGCGAACTCGGTCCGGACTTGTAAATAGAACGACAAATGGAAATCTCGATGCGCGGTATCGCGTGTCGTATTTCGCCCGTTGCCGTTTCCTGTACCTCACTTGTTACGCCCTTTCGAACGCCGAGCGCACTCGCGAATGAAATAGGTCGAGTCTTAATTTGTACGGTTACACCTGAAATTGTAGTCGGTGGAAAAAAATGCTTTGATTGGATTATATATGTGTGTGTGTGTGTGTGTGTGTGTGTGTGTGTGTGTGTGTGTGTGTGTGTGTGTGTGTGTGTGTGTGTGTGTGTGTGTGTGTGTGTGTGTGTGTGTTACACGCGTGTTGTTTTAATAAAAACTTTGTGACCAAAATATATTCATTTCTCTTGTATCAAATTTTGTAGTGACATTTTATAATAACAATTTTTATAGAAAGGAATGATAACTTTTTAATATAAATTCTTATATAATATTTTCGGCTATTTAATTATAATTTATTTATGATAAAAAGATCCTGTAACTGTCTTGATAACGAAACTGAAAAACCTGAAAAATTTTTTAAAAATTTCTTGATTATAATATCTAATTATAACATTTAGATATAAATTTTAATGTTAGTAATTATAATATTTATAAGTTAGTAATAATTATAGGTTTGATCTTTTTTATATAAAATGTAATTTTTTTATACATTTGCTTACTTTTAGTATTTAATTTTTTTTTTTTTTTTTTGAAGCATGAACAGAATTTAAATTTTTCGACAATAATGTAAATAGAGTGAGATTCGTTATTGTAATATCTATTTCATTACATTAAGTGCGATAGCACATTTGCGTGTACACTGCGAATCTTTCTGCAAGAGCAGCTTTACTTTCGTGCAATGCTGGTGAAATGCTTAAGAGAGATAACGTCGCCTGCGAATATTGGATCGTTGAGTTTCCTTAGGACAAATTGACGATACTTCTCTTTGATCTCAATGCTCTTGGTCAAATCGTTACTGGTATAGTCGAAATGCAATTTGAGAGCGATGAAACTTTATTTCTATGCGAATTCGGTACTTATTTCATCAAAGAGATTATATCAAGTATCGCAATATAAGTTAAAATCACTTTTCATAACTACATAATAATAACTATTTATAATAGCTAATAATAGCTATTTCTTTATAACTACAAATATTGAGCACTTATTATTAATTTGCTTACATAACTCGAAATATTTTACGCAAGTTGAGAAAAATATTACGCGTACATGATAAAATTCTTAAATTTTGAAAATATCTATAAGTTAACACAGGTAGCAAGGTTATTATTATCTTCTTCTGTTGCGCGATTTTATAAAATCTATCTAGGTTAAAATCATATTTTATTCATCATGACGCAAGACCGCAAAGTAAAGGGAAATATATACAAATTAAGCGCCTTTTCTATCTAAAGAAATTAGGAAGCCGTGATTAACGCGACGATGATGCAGCGGTTAATTTGATTTGCTTAAACTACAGCCAACGCTGTCAACTTATCAAATGTCACGAGCAAACGAGCAAACTGCTGAGCAATCCTCTCTATTTTCCTCTGGTTTCCATAATCGTGGATGAAAGCGGTGGAGCTTTGAGGCCTCAAGCCTTTGCCCTCCATCATGTCACAGAAATGCAGGATACAGAATATGAAATTTGTTTGCACAATGTTTACGTGTTGTGCTAAAAGCCTTATCTCTCGGTAATACTGCAGCGGATTGATTAATATTATACATGATATCGTTTTACGTGCTTTCGTAAAGCGCATTTCCATTTGCTTCCCGATAATATTTTAGTCATAAAGTTTCCGAATACAGAAA